AGTTGTTTTGTAGATAGGTAAAATTAATACTCCAGATGTAGGAGAAAATAACGTAAAACGATAGGGGGGTAGACCACCCCCAGGCTTTTAAAAATAAGTAAAAGTTTAGGAATTTTGTTCGTAGGTAACTACTAAATGAAAAGTTTCAACTTTTTCAGAGCATATAAATGTAATTTTCAACTTTTTCTATAATTTTTAAAAAGTAAAAATGATATAAATTACATAAGAAAAAAATTCCAAAACTGTACCTATTTTTAGATGCCTCAGGATGGTGTACCTCTTTAAGTAGAAATGTGTATTCCACTAAATAGATGGTGGGTCCGATACAAAATGACACGTGTCCACGTTCAACCAGCTTTCGTCGACGACTGTCTCGACTGGTTGCTAAAAAGTAGATTAACACCTCGACCATCCCTGCTTCCGGCATGCGCCCAAGACACGAGATCCGCGTTTACCAAGGAATCGGCGAACGGAAGGCATTGTCTTCAATATTAACATAATGCCCTTAAATATACGTAACTACGAGATGCCCTTATACCTAATGCTGCTATGAATACAATTACAATATAATAGCTGCCAGTTAGTGTCCGCATTACAACACCTTGATTGGCCTTCAGGGGGAATCTCTACCTCTTGATTCCCTGACAGTATGCAGATCTTACAAACTGGTCGTTCAACTATGTCTTCTGCGCTCTTAATTGATAGCACGCTCGTGATGTTATCTGAACCGGGATGAATTTCAACAATCCGTCCCATTATCCATTTGAGCGGTTGAAGGTTGTCGACCATTATCTGTGGAATATTACTTCCATATATTCTAAACAAAATTTCAGGCCAAAATCTTTATTTTTGTCGAACTTGTAAGGTTTTTTATTTTGATGTTATCACTAAAATTCTCCTGCTCCGTATGTCGGTTCTTCTTCTTGTAAGATCTCTTCTCTTCTCAATTGTACCGTTCTAATACGTTTTTTTACACGTTAGTACTTTGCCGAAGCGGTTTCTTCATACCTTTGTACTCGTTTTTTTTTTTTAATATTTTGAATAATTTTTAGAGATTGTTTGCTCGTTTCTACACTATTATCTTTCAATAAATCTGATATTACCTTTATGTATCCTTCATTATATTCATAAATAGCTTCTGCAATCGCACCTTTAACGAGTTGTTTCGATGGAAAAATATCTTTTGGACATTTACGCCATATCATGCTGCTACGAGCTACGGTCGTAGCAGTGCGTGAGGTTGGCGAGTGAGGGTATTAACGAGGAATACGGTTTCAGTTTGTTAGTATTATATATACGAATGCGAACGAACCTGGCGCGAAATCAGGGAGCCACAGGAGTTTTAGAAGCGAGGACGAATTTGATGCGTAATCAGGGAGCCTCGTGGAGGGATTTTTTACGTTTAACACGTTCTCGCCGGCATGTACCACTGGTGGTACATAGAAGACTGTCTCATGGGACGGCATGTACCGCTGGTGGTACATACACAATTGTCCCATCGGGTGGCATGTACCACCAGTGGTACAAAGGATGCAATCAATTTTATGTCTTTTTTGTTAATAAAAAGAAAAAAAAAAGTTTGCAAATGAACTGAATCAAAACAATTCTTTAATTTTAAACGGCTTTAACATAAAAATATTTATTAATTAGAATTATTCATTCCAATTAAAAATTGATCACGTAGTCAACAAATTTATTCAATTTATTACATTTAAAAACATTATTTATTTTCATGAGTTTTCTTAAAACATTGTAAACACAAAGATGGTTGATTTTGAAGGATGTGGTTATATGCGAGTTCAATAAAGACACGAAGGTACTTTAAAAGGTATTTTATTACTGTTATATGCGCGTGACTTAATGATACCGTAGCTAACTATACTTATTCGACTCCCACAGCAGACTGCTCCTCGTTGCTTCGCCGGGCCACCAGCTAGTTTCTCTAGGCCCGTTCGATGGAATTACTTTTTCTAATTGGCTAAACGGGAAATCCGCCAATTAGACTTTTTTGTGGAAATTCCACCGCCCACTCTTTTACGCCCTTAGCGTGATTTTCCGAGAGTGGGGAAGCAACTTGGTGGGAGTGATCACTCTAACATTGTCACCATTCGGTATTATGTTCGTGTTGATTAGGGACAGGTATTCAGCAATGGGTGTCGGCATGATCATTTCACGAGGTATTGCCGACAAGGGCTGTTCCTCGTCCTGCCAGCGGATTTCCTGATTTAGGTTCCTCGCTGTGTCCAGCAACCAGGCCTGAAGGACCGTATTCATAGCGTGTAAAAATACTGGATAGGGCATCTCTCTTTTGCAGACGGGGTGCAAATTCCCGCAACTGACAGTAAGTCGCGTCGCAAAGCTGTGGAAAACTGGAGTGCTCTATGTTCTGACACTTTCTTTTGAACACTTGTCTAGCACCCTGGGTGAAGTTATACATAGGGTCATCCCGCAATGCTGTCGAACTAGTCGACATGTACTGGGATAGGTCAGGGGTCGAAGCTGGTTTTGGTGGGGCGGTTCTATTCTGCTGTTGTTTACGCCAAGCAGTGGCGCGGCCTTGATTACGGCTACGACGCTGTTCGCTTTTCTGGTATGGTTGAGAGAGATACTGCTCCTCTCTGTCGCTGTTCCAGTCTCTTTTAAACTCTCGATCACCAATATGTCGTGCCATACGGCGCGCGTCTCGATTTTGCCGCAATTCCACTTCGGGTTGAGTCGGGATTGGAATCTTCTCTGCCATTGTGCTAAGGAATGGGGCTTCTGCTTTTGAATTTATCATAAAATTCAAATAAAATCCTTACTTCGCTACAATATGTGCGGAATTGTGTTTGCGTTAAAAACGACTTCCATTAGGCTTCTAGCATCCTGCGTAGATTCGGCAAAGCAGCGGGGTGCCCCGCGGGCTCAGCCGCTACGTGCGACATGTAGGTTTACGAACCTCAATCGGCAGGCCCTTGAGGGACCCTCGGTTTAGGATTCCTACGAACGCTATTGAGATTGTCGAGAGAGTTTACGTAAGGGACGAGTAAATTTCCAACGTCCTTATTATCGATTGACAAACGACTTCTCGAAAATAGCTTCGCTGGCGTGAGAATCCTAAACAGTGCTAGCTTGTTCTTGATATTTTCAAGTGTTTTTCCTGCTAGCCGTCTGCCCGCCGAATATTTATTACTCAGGTATGTAGCGTGCCGCTACAATTTTCACAAAGACCACAAAATGTCGTAACACGTTTAGCTTTTTTTGCCGCCATAGAGGCATCCATTTCTTCAGATAATTTCCTGTAGCATTCTTTGCAGCGTTTGCGGGTGTATGTTGCTGGGCCTAAACGGGTTTCTATAAACTGTTTAACGTTCCTGGTTTTTTGTGCCCCTGGTATTTCTTCATCAGCTAATAATTCGTCAATAATTAATTCTCTAAATTTTAATATACTCATATTTCGAGTACCCCATTTCTTGTGTATATAATATGCGTTTACAATTGCTGTACCGCAAAGCAGTTGTATAATAATTTTCTTATACCATTTTATGGTTTTTCTTAGACTACTATAATACAGTGCGTTGCATAAATATACCAACCCCCCGTATTTTTAATCATTTAATTTTTCTACAAAAAATTATGGCCAATTTTCTTTAAATACTACTCCGTAGTGTGTAAACAACAAATTATATAAGAAAAAATTTGTATATTAATGTAAACATTGGGCTGAATTGCATGAAAACTGATTTTCATGCGTTTCATAAATATACCAACGGTTTAAGAAAAACTGTTTTATTATGCTTTCATGTACAAAATAAAAAAACTGAATAATTTATTGTGTTTCCACCAGTACGAATTACATCGAAAATTCGATTTTGCATGCTGTCAATAAGATTTTTTATTATATTTTCTTCTATGTTGTCCCAGGTGTCAATAATTGCAGCTTTTAGTTCGTCTGCGGTTGAAAATGTACGATTATTTGCAAAAATTCGTCGTACCAATATTCCCCATAAATTTTCAATTGGATTTAAGTCAGGGGAACGTGCCGGCCAATCTAATAAACGTATGTTATTGCCGGAAAACCTTCTGAATGTGTGCGCAGATTTATGTATTGATGCGTTATCTTGCATAAATATTAAATTTTCGCTATAGTTTTCTATCCAAAAAGGTAATAAATAATCTTCTAAAGTATCTGTATAATTGGTACTATTCATTTTATGTGAAATAAAAGCTATGGAGCTTTTGCCATGGGCCGAGAAACACGCCCAAACCATGACTGAGCCACCACCGAAATTGCGTTTTGAAAAGTATTTGACATCCTTTCGAACATCATGCCAATACGAGTTGAAACCATCTGGTCCATCTAGATTAAATTTTTTTTCGTCACTAAACACAACCTACAAAAATAAATTGTATTAACAAAATATTCGTTTCTTAGAAAGCAGACATTTTTACTAACGTTTTCCCAATCCATATTCATGTTCGCTTTAGCGAATGAGAGTCTTGCTGATTTATCCGCATTTTTTAATTTTGGTGTCGACATCATTTTCGATCTAACAATGTACGGAGATGTCACAATGGTTCTATAAACGGTACTTTTTGAAACAGTTAATTCGCAATCATTTCGTATTTGAACCAAAGACATTGTGGAGTTAGAAGCTTTTCGGAGAATGTTGCGTTTATCTCGAGGAGATAGTTTTGAAGGGCGACCTGGACGCTTTTTCTCTCCATGATTACGTCGTTTACTTACATAATCAGCAATTGCACTTTTTGAACGACCTAAATGCTTTGCAATATAGCCATAACCTTTACGAGGGTAGTCCCAGAAGTACCCGACCTAACAAAGAAAACACAAAAAATTTGGGAAAAAGTATTTTTATTTCTCTACATAGTCTCCTTTTAGCTCGATACACTTTTCCCAGCGATGTTCAATATCTTCAATACCCTGTTTATAGTAAGAATCGTCGAGCTCCTCAAAATAGCCATCAACCGCAGACTCCACCTCTTCATTGTTGGCAAATCTTTTACCACCGAGCCATTTTTTCAAGTTTGGAAACAGAAAATAATCCGAGGGGGCTAAATCTGGCGAATAGGGTGCGTGAAGAAGCAATTCGAACTTTAACTCATTGATTTTGGCCATCGCGATAACGGATGTGTGAACTGGTGCATTGTCTTGATGAAACAAAATTTTCTTTTTCGCCGTTTTTTCTTGATTTCATCACTCAAACGCTGCAATAAGTTCGCATAATACTCGCCGTTGATTGTTCTTCCTTTTTGAAGATAATCAATGAAAATTATCCCACGCGCATCCCAAAAAACTGACGCCATGATCTTGCCTGCAGATGGAACTGTCTTCGCCTTCTTTGGAGCCGATTCTCCCCTTTCAGTCCATTGTTTTGACTGTTCCTTTGTCTCAAGTGATGGACCCATGTTTCATCCATGGTTATGTATCGACGCAAAAACTCTGCTTTATTGCTGTGAAACTTCGCCAAACACTCGATTGAAACATCCTCACGACGCTGTTTTTGTTCGGCTGTGAGCAAATGCGGCACCTATCTTGCGCACAGCTTTGTCATGTCCAAATTTTCAGTCAATATGCGATGTACAGCACTTTTTGAAATGCCTACCATGTCTGCTAGCTCGCGCACTTTCAGTCGACGGTCATCCAATACCATTTTGTGGATTTTCTTCACCATTTCTGGCGTGGTCACCTCATTTGGTCGACCACTGCGACGTTCGTCTTGGCAGCTCGTACGGCCTCGTTTAAACTCTGCCACCCAATATTTTACTGTTGTAAACGAAGGAGCAGACTCCCCCAGAGTAGAATCTAACTCCGCTTTGATATCGGTTGGACTGAGGCCTTTCAAATGAAAGTATTGTATCACATAACGATGACCAATTTTTTCCATGTTTACAAATTCACCGAGAGCGTTCACTGTTGATGGCTGCCAGACAAATACTGAACAACGTAGCGTCGTCAAACTTCAAACTTAAGCTTTATAAAGTTGGTATTTTCTAAGATAGTCATTTTTTTTCCAAAAAACAACCGCCATCTATACGTCAGGTCGGGTACTTCTGGGACTACCCTCGTATCTGTATACAAAACGCGGTGTTCAAATAGCAAGCCATTCATCAATTTTGAGACAACATCATATCCATGTCCATGTATTGAAGCGTTCATCCTTTTTCCGGCATAAATTTCTAAATCATAGGTGTAACCGCTTGGTAAACATAATTTGTATGCTTTTATGCCGTATTTATGACGTTTTCCTTTGATATACATATATAAGTGTAAGGGGATTCTTGTTGATACTGGGAGGTTCGGTCTTGTCAATGTTTCTGTTGTAAGGCTGCCATAGTAAGGTAAAATTCCGCAAATATAACCCGTATTTGAATCTGCCAGTGTGTAAATTCGAATGCCCCATTTAGTCGGTTTCTGTGGGTTATATGTAATAAATGATAGTCGTCCTTTGAATTTTACGACAGATTCGTCGACACAAATTTCTTCGTAGGGTGTGAAATAATTCAGAAGTCTTGAGTTTATATAATCAAGGTAACCAGTTATGAGCTGTAAACGCGTTGTAGTGTTGCTACCTCGTGCCGATACTATTGGTACGTGTAACATCCAAAAAATCTGGGTATATCGATCTCTTGTAAAGGTGTTAGCAAAAAATGCAATGTGGCTTATTGGGTCTGTTGACCAATATTCTTTCATATTGCCCAGTGGTATTATTCCCATTGAAGGAATGTGGTTACGAATAAATAACAAGGCGTGACTAGGGTTACGCTATGTACCCACATGGTATTAGTGAGATTTTTATTAGGTGTTGACTTTCGGCTTTGGAGGTCCGTGCAAGACTGCCCTCCTGTCGCCTCGCTTTTTTCTTACTGCCTTTCGGCTAAGTGTTAATCATCCCTAATTGGTTAACCCGTCGCATCAGTGTTAACCAATCAGGTAATTTCTTTCCGAGTCGCTGCGTGTCCCTTGCGCCCTTGGCGCGCTTTTTCGGGGACCGCAGTGCGACTTGGCGGGGGAGGTTTTCCCCGTGACGTCATTTGGCGACACAGCTGAGTTTCCTCCAGGTCAGGTACTCGTGACCTGCCGGGCCTCGTACGGCAGACCTTTCGGAAACCCTTGGTTTATGA